CTCTTTCCCTAGTACCCACTCTTCCGCCCTCTCCAAAATTACCTCTGATCACAAACCTATTATGTTAGATACTAACCCCATTTAGTAGGTTCAAACTCTTCTGGTTGGAGGAGCCTTCTTTCCCACATCTTGTTAGGAACTGGTGGTCATCCATTTCGGTCACAGGTTGAGCAGGCTTTAGACTCTCCAAAAACTTTCTTAAGGCATCTATTAAACAATGGAGTTGTAGTGCCCCAAGTAACTTTAGGCAACAGATTCAGACCTATTCGACCTAAATCCAATCCCTAGATTCCCTTGAAGAATCCAGAGATCTTTCTCCCCAAGAATCCTTGGGGCCTCGACCAAACACAACCTCTTTCTTCTCCTCAAACAAGAGGAATTGTACTGGTACCAGAGATCCAAGATCAAGTGGCTTAAACTTGGGGATAGGAACACTGCCTTCTTCCACAAAACTGGTAGGTCCAGGAGAAGAGGTAATGCTATTACTCTCATCTCTGTTGGGGACCGTTTCTTCACCCAACCTGCCATATTAACTAGATTTTCATTAGATATTTTAGGAATCTCTTCTCCATTCCCCAAGGGGCGTGACGGTAAAAGGCTCGGATAGCCAGCGCAAGAGCACGGGTTCGAGTCCTGAGAACTGCCACTTTTTGCATAAGCCAATGGTTAGGAACATTTCCAGCCCACCCCTCCCGGGACCCCGCTTAGGCGGGACCAGCACCGAGTTACGGCCCTTTTTTTCTTCTCCATTCCCCGTGGACCTAAATCCTCCTTAGGTAATCTCTCCTTTCTTACCCTTTCTCGGGAAGATGCATCATGGTTGGAAAGACAGTTCACTGAAGTTGAAATACATGGCGCAATCTTCCATCTTGCTAGGGATAAAGCCCTTGACCTCAATGGTTTCCCAATTGCTGTTTTTCCAAGACTTCTAGGATACCATGACCCCAGACCTTATCCCTTCTTTAATGAATTCTAAAATAGACGTCGCATAAACACAGCTTTAAATTGTAGTTTCATCTCCCTCATTCCTAAGTTTGAAGGGCCGAAAAAGTGAGAAACTTTCGCCCTATAAGTCTTCTTAATTCCTCCTTCAAGATCCACTCTAAGGTCCTCGTTACGAGACTTTAGAACGTGCTGCACTTTGTGATATCCCCAGAACAATCGGCATCCATTGCCAATAGGCAGATTCTTAACATACTTCTGGGAGTCCAAGGTTAGTCATCAAATTAGATTGGGAGAAAGCCTATGATTGGATGGATTGGGATATCCTTGATGAAATTCAGGCCGGTATTGGATATGATCTCAAATGGAGATCATGGATTAAGGCCTGCATCTCCAACCCCTCCTTCTCCATTATCATTAATGGATCCCCTACTGGCTTCTTTCAATCTTCTAAGGGGCTCCGCCAAGGAGACCCCCTTTCCCCCTTTCTATTCACTTTCCTAAAAGAGCCTTTCTCTAGATCTACCAGACTTGGGATCCTCACTGGATTCCGTATTTCCTCTAAACGCCCTGAAATCTCTCACCTCCTTTATGTTGATGACACCCTTATTTTTGTGGGGCTGATACCATCCAACTGGATAAGCTTTGGCTCTTTCCTTAGATGCTTTGAGATCTCCACTAGGATGAAAGTCAAATATGTCCAAAACAAAGATGCTAGGCGTTTGGGTCCAAGACCAGGATCTCGCATCACTCGCTGAGCAGTTAAGGTGTGCTATAGATCATTTTCCCTCCTTTTACTTGGGCATTCCCCTTTGCTTAAGAAACCTAGGAAAACTCTTTGGGACAAAATCATTGAGAAATTCTCGTGGAAGCTAGCCAATTGGAAAGGTAGATTCCTACCCCTTAGCAATAGTATTACCCTTATAAAAGCAACCTTAGCTAACATCCCTATCTTCCAAATGTCTCTCTTTAGGATCCCAATGTTTGTTGCTAATCGCCTTGGAAAAATTATGAGGGATTTCTTGTGGAATGGCGATTCTGAAGACGATAAATTCCACTTGGTTGCTTGGGATAAGATTTGTACCTCAAAAAACTAAGGGGACCTTGGTATCAAGAAATTGATCCACGTGAACTCTGCCCTCCTTAGCAAATGGTGGTGGATGGAAAATGGTGGTGGAGGTTCACTTGCCCATATCCTTTACTATGGAAAGAAGTCATTTGGGCTAAATATGGTCTTGGAGTTAACGGTTTGCTCCCTTCTTCGCCTTTGCATCATACCTCTAGTGCTTGGAAGTCCATCTCTCCTCTATCAGATCTGCTTATAGTGGTTTCATTGAATTTAGGATTAGGGAACAGGCACAGAGTTAGATTTTGGAAAGACATTTAGCTAGGGGATTATTCACTAGGACAGCTTTTCCCTCTCTTTTTCTCTTAGCTGCAAATCAAGATGCCACAGTTGCTAGCTATGTGAAGCGAAGGGGCTCATCATTGGTGTGGACCCCAATCTTTAGAGTCTGAAATTACCGATTTCAACCCCCTCCTCCTCTTGCTATCTCCTTTCTTCTCTCCCCTCTCTAGAGAAGGCTCCCTCATCTTGGGCCCCAACCAATATGGGACCTTTACGGTCTCCTCCTTCTACTCCTCGCAGTCCCCCATTTTGATCCATCCCCCATCCTCAACAAAATTTGGTTTAGTCCCACTTCCCTCAAAGTCCAAACTTTCACTTGGATCCTTACTCAAGGCAAGATGTTAACGCTTGAACAGCTTCAAACGCGTGGCTGAACCCTCTGCCTCCATGTAGAAGAAACTATCCCCCACCTTTTCCTCCACCCCGCCTCCCTTCCACAACTTTTCTATTTTCTTTTCTCCCCTCCTTTCCCAAAAAATGGTTGTAAACTGTAGCACATCTTAATTCTCACTCTTGTGGTCTATAAGGATAGAAAGGAACGCGAGAACCTTTGGCTGTATAGCTAGGCACTAGTCCCCTTTGTTTGACTCTATCTTGGCACTGATCTCCTTTGGGGTTAAAAATATCCCTGCTTAATCCATCCTTCCATTAGCTCATTACCCAGCCAACTGGGACACTCTTCTCTACCTCCTTGTCCCTCCTTTCCCCCATCCTAAGGCAGTGTGGATCCTTCCCCCACCAGGGGGTCCTCAAAATCAACTCTGATGGTTCCTCTATGGAATCCTGGCCCCTCTATATTTGGTGGCACTTCAGCCAATTCAGATGGGGCTTTCATCTCTTTCTCAGGGTCTTTGGGTATTCTAGACTCAACCACAATGGGAGCTACAGCTTTACTTGAAGGGCTCAAGAAAGCCACACAAGTTGAAGCACATTTCACAATCGTACAGGTTGAGGTAGATTCCAACAACATCAGCCTTTGGGACTCTAACCTCAAACAACCTCCTTGGTGCCTCTCATATGTTTTTTATCTCAGAGCCTTCTTGTGCAGCTCGCTACCACCCATCTCTTTCAAGCATATTCACCAGGAAGCTAACTCAATTGTAGATAATCTCACTAAGGAAGGTGCTCTCTTAGCCAGCATACTTAGCCTGGCTAACTCATGATGTCTTCCCCACCCCCCTTCTTCCTCTTCCCTCTTATCTATTTTCGGGGAAAAAAAAAAAAGGAAAAAAAAAAGAAGAAAAAAAAAGGAAAAATAATAATAAAAAGAAAAATTTTAAAAAGAAAAAAGAGAGAAGGGATATATTTCTGTAAATTCATTTTTTATCAGCCTTTTTAAACTCGCTCTCCCGTTTCTCCCGCCCTTTTCTTGCAAGTGTACCTTCCTTTTGTCTCCTTCTTTCCTCTACTTTTATTATTCTTCTACTCCTCTCTTCTTTCTCTTTCTCCTCTCCTAGCTCTTTTATTCTAGCCTCTCTTTTGCATTCCCTGCTCTTCTTCTCGCTCCCTTCCTCACTAATACCTTCGGTGTTTGCTAGTCTGGTGACAGCAAACCAGAAGTCTTTCCTCTCCCTAATCTTTCTAGGAAAATTGTTTCATGCGTCCTGGACTGCAAGACCACGTATGCGGTCCAAAAGGTGTAAAGCATCCATCTTAAAGATGGATGCAAGTAGGTGTTCCATCTAAAAACAATGGAAACTAACAGTCCAAATGTTTTCTTACTAGAATTATTATTCCTAGTTTTTAAAATTTACTTATTTTTTAATATTCATGATCTCCGTGTTAGAGATTACATGTTTTAAAAGCTAAGTCCAAAAATCCATCTCAAAAATAGATTTATTAATAGACCCGCATTTCTACATGCGAGCTTGGCCGCATAGAAACCAGGTCCATCTTTCTATTCTAACCTTCTTCCTGGACTTCTTTGCTCTCTTTCTCTATCTTTTCTTTCGCATGTACAATTGGTGACAACCGGTTTCGATTCTATGAGCCAAAGGAAGGGTTCCATAGAGAATTTTACGATCATGGTGCGAATAAGTGGGTACAACCTACCTAGCTAGAGTTTCATTCTTTCTTTTTCACTATCTATCATCTTCCTTATCTCTTCTCATCTTCTCTATTTTCTCTCCATCCTCTCTCCACCTACCTAGCTAGAGTTTCATTCTTTCTTTTTCACTATCTCTCTTCTTCCTTATCTCTTCTCATCTTCTCTATGTCCTCTCCATCCTCTCTCCTCTTCTCTTCCCTCTTCTCACGGGCTCCTCTCCTTATGGCTTCTTCCTTTTTTTTGTACTTAACCTCTTCTAGAATTCTGTTTAGATTGTTTCCCTATTTTTCTAGTTCTTTTCTTGTAATCTGAGTACCCAGCCCTTTTACCACACCTTGTGGTTTTTTGTACTCTTTTACTATTTATTAATATAAAGTCAACTTTCTCAAAAAAAAAAATCTCAAAATAAATGAATTAGCTTCAGTTAACAATCAAAAAGAGAAAAACTGTAAATTTTCCATCCGAAAAATGGCAGATAAAATATCGCAAAGAAAATAAGCAATTGCTAGTTAGGCCTTCATTACTATACATCCATAAAGCCATGCATACTGGTAACAGCCAATTATGCTTAAAGAAAGAAGTCGCACATGTCAAACAGCATACCATATTTCCTCTGAAAAGAGGATAAACCATGAGATATCAAGCAGAATGCTGCAAACCAAAAGAACAGCATAAGTTCTCCCAAGACTTTGGCTGCTACTCTCAATGGCCACAAGGGCAAAAAGTGCAACCGCCAAATTGATCAGCAAAACCCCAGTGTATAAGGCGCCAAGAGATCCTATCAAAGCACACCCAATCTAAAAAAACAGCCAAAAAACCATAATCAAAATCCAAGAAAACTAAAACCCATAATTCCAAAGCCAATAAATGAACCATAAAGAGAGAGAGAGAGAGAGAGAGAGAGAGAGAGAGAGAGATATCCAACTTGGTTGCAAAAGATCCAAACGCCAAATCAAATTTCTGAATTCCAAAACATTCATGGATAGTTCATAAAACCCAACAAATTTGGCAACAATAGAAACTCCCAAAAGAGAGCCACCACAAATTTCACATTCATGACCAGAATTAAGATGAAATCGATAGCAATTAGAAGGAAAATCTCACTTGAATGTGAATAAGGAAAACAGCACAGGCCTGAACTTTATCGTAATCACGATGCCACGAGCTAATCTGTGCCCATAATGGTGAAGAACAGGGCATTATATCTCGATACCCCGGTAGACAAAATCCCTTCACAAAAGTTGCCGGCTTGGTGAGCTTGGACTGCCGTGAAGACAGCGATTCAGAAACTGCATTGGTGGTGGGAAACAATGCCCTACAATTCAAAAACTTTAGAGAGAGAATTGGGGAACCAGAGAAAGGGAATTCGTGGTAGGATGAGAGAGGTTATGCAACTGCATTGAAGCTTGTAAAAGTTAGAGAGAAAGAAAGAGAGCTGGAGGGTTTAAGAGGATAAGGTATGAATTAGGGGTTTTGGGTTTCATCAGATCCAGTGGAGGCCTTTTGCGGCCTCGCATATTAGCTGAGAGTGAGAGAGAGACGAAGGGAAGTAGAGAGAGAAATAAGAGAGAGAGAGACAGAGGCAAGACAGTAGAGAGAGAAATAAGAGAGAACGGAAAGGAGAGAGAGAGAGAGCAAGGAAAAGTAGAGAGAGAGAGAGCAAGGAAAAGTAGAGAGAGAAATAAGAGAGAGAAAATACACTTTTGGACTGTGGCGAGAGAGAGAAACGAAAGGCAGTTTTTGGAGCGTGGCAAAACGGAAAAGAGTTAATGTTTTCTGCAAAACGAACGTACGGCGGGAGAAACGCCCGAGTCTTAGAACCCGCACAGAGAACCGGAGAGAAAATATCAATATCCCCATATTTGATGCATAAATTTCCTAAGTGCCCCTGATTCAAGGTATTAGCCTCGATCGGCCCAGTAGAAATAATAATAATAATAATAATAATATTTGTTTAATATATTAGATTTTCAAAAATATTATTCATAACAAAATTTAAAAAAATTATATATATATCTATTATACTTTACATTATTATGGATGTACCAAATAGTATCCATTATTGTATATAAGTCCGTTTTTTACCATTTATAACTTAATTTTTTAAAAAAAGACAGCTTTATCTTTTTCGGATGTTGAACGTCCGAAACTAGGCTGAAAGTATACCATTAACATTCCCATTTTCGAGTGTTGAACATCCGAATTGAAAGATAAAATTTCTATAAGGCTTAGGTTTTATGAAAACAAAATTAAGCTACATCTTAAATCCTCGTTAGGAAAGCACTTTAGAAATCATAAATCTCCACGATGGCTTTAAAATCAATTTCTAACATCAACACTAAATTTTGAAACTTAAAAAGTGATGGAACTTATGGATCTATGAACACCTATTTATATTATAATTTGTTATAATATATATTATTTTTAGAGCTTAATGTATTATACAATATGTATATTTCTTTTGAACGGTAGTGTACGACTTATCATTAATTCATATATAAAATACAAGATGTTCAAGTAAAGACACAAGATTACAGAAATGAAGTAACTAACAAAAAAGGAGTATGGACTCCTCCTTTGGCAAGAACATCGGCTCTCTATAACGATGTTGGACCGTTACCATAGAGGTTGATAAAATATCTCAAATTTAATGAAAAACAGTCTTTAATATCCAAAAAATATGGGACTTTCTCTTAGTAATGACATTTGTTAAGTCTCTTTCGATAATCCTACTCCATTCCAAAGTGCATAGCAATTTCAAACATTCTAATAAACCTTGTGCTTCCGCCTCGTTTGCTGTTATGATACCACAAGGACCCGAGTAAAAAAATATAATGCGACCCAAATTATTTATGATGAGTCCACTATAGCCAGCTGACCTTGCATTGCTATATGAATTTCCATCAAAATTAAGTTTGAAAATTTTAACTGGTGGTGGTATCTAAACAACCTCACTACAAGTATTGTTGATAACACCATAGTTGCCACCGCCAAGGGATTGCTAAATGATAAGGCTTTTAGGAATAAATCCACTATACTATGCTACGTACAATATTTTTTAGTAATTTTTTAGATAGACAGAGCTCTTTTCATTTACTCCCTGCTAGACTAATAGCACCGGATTAGATAAAGTTATGCCGAGTATCGTAAAATTGCATTTTAAAAAAGATGTCCTTATATGTTTAACTACCAAACAACAAATAACTCGTATCATGATTAATTTCATTGATTATTAGTGATAACGAGTATGCATGAACCATATTCTATTTTATAAAATAACTAGCTAGGAAATGACAGTCCATATCCAGGCCTTTCATTTAGAGACCAATATGTCGAGATCAAATCCGGACCGTCCAAAGCCTAAAACCATGAAGGCCCAACCAGTTACATACTCGTGACATTCCTTTTCATTACTCAAATAGAGCAAAAAATACTTTTTTTTGGGGTAGATAAATAGAGCAAAAATGTTATTTTAGAGATGTCCACCGAATTTTAATACAGCAAGAACACAACCGATAATTCATAAAGGCGATAGGGGTATATTGCGCCATTCACAAATCTGAGGTGTGTTTTTCGGTAGTGTTTTCTCTCTCTTGCGAAAATACCCAGTTTAGTAGAGAGAGAGAGAGAGAGAGATTTTAGAAGGGTAACAGCCAATGTCTAGACTTCGAGGTTTGTGGGAGGCTTCAATCTCTGCTACAAAAAAAGGTATTAAAACGATTTTTATTCTTCTATAAGCTACCCTTATTGCATTTTAATCCATACCCACACGTTAAAATTGCATATTAAAGAGTTCAAGTTTTTGCCCTTGTTGTCTGCTTTCAGCAATACCCGGCATTTAAAATTGCATGAATTGATTGGTTATTGATCTCGTTCTGTTAATTTTCTTAAAGAAAGCTCAGTTTTTGAGGATGGTCATGGAGATATCTATTCTCCACACAAGATAACAAACATGGCCTGTAAATTTGAGTAAATGGGTTTATATATTAGGCTACTCTGTTCATAGTTGAGAACAGACAATACTTCGAAGTGTGGTTTAGAGCTAGATAAAGTTATGACATGTAATGTCTAAATTTAAGCACTCCCATATTTTAATTTTATATTTCCTATGATATAAACAATACCAACTATTTAAAATTGCAGAATTGGGTTTATTTCTGTTGCAAAGACACCCTTAACTTGAAGAAGATCAGACTTCAAATGTTAGCTTTGGATATGAATTATGGTTTTTTATGCCTAAATAGTCCTATTTTTGTACTTCCTGTTATATCTCACAGAACTGAGAGTACTTACTGATACATATTTCTTATATCCGTGCATGTAGCATAAAATTAGAACCATGTTACTGCATTTAATTTGAAATACCAGTATCTGGTATTTTTTGTTAAGTGTTTTGTATACAAAGGCTGTAGAGTGTGCTCATATGGTCTCCATTCTTATTTTTGGATTGTAGCACTTTCTTGGAACGTGGAGGATCTGATGCCACCGAGTGAGAAATATGTGTTCAGGTTCAATTCAATAGATGAGCTGAAAAGGTGGCATCTTTATTCTGATTCTGAATATGGTGGTATGGTTTGAATCCTTAATATACTGACACCACTATTTTCTAAGCATATAGATCAAGAATCCCAAAACTATTATGAGTTATACTCCTGTTGGTTCCTTATTCAAGGAATCATGGCCTTAAGACTTCTATTGTACCTAGAAGTTTAGCAATATATCATTGCTTTTCCTTAACAAGATGCTTAAAGTGAAGGATTTATAATACCCAATTACGGCAACATGGAATGAAAATTTTGGAAATTTTCTTTTTCATTCTTTTGCTTTACTTCTGTGCTCTCCATTTTGAGATGGCTTTGTTTTTACTATGAATTCATTATCAGGTTTATCTTCAGCCTCCTTGGAAATAGAAAATGTTGGAACGGGACACAATGGTAAGTTGTACTATATACACCATTTATGGTTTTGAGCTTCACTAGGATCCTTGTTTGTTTATGAATCATTGCTACCCTTTGAAACTTTCTCCCCAACAAGTTGAACACAACACAAGAAAAGAAAATTAGGTCTTCAACTTAGTTTCTACCAGTTCTAAGAAGTAAGGGGTTACATCATCTTGCATATGGGGGCAACAAAAGGGACTCTCTATACTGCAATGGACAACAGTGGTGGGGGGAGGGAATTTGTGAAATGTCATTTCCTGGGGCAAAAAAGAAGCTACTTGGAGATTAGCCAACATATTTTATGGGATCTTTGAACTATGTAGAAACCGAGATATAGTTTTGTTCACATTTGGCGAGATCAGTGGCTAATCCAATTGCATGAAGACGAGTTTGGAGGAATGATATCTTATCACAAAAATAGCCACCTAGGACTGTGTCCGCTCGAGCCTACTTTTTTGTAACTATTGTACAATTATCTCCATTTTGTACACACAATTGCAAAAAGAAATAAAATTAATCAATTATCAGAAAAAGAGAGGACATTACGAATATGTTTTAGGGTCACTAAGCAATTACCTATCAAAATTTAAATAGAACGAGTTATAAAACATGGGAGTATAATGAAAGTAAAGGCATCACAATGGTAGTGGTGGCGTCAAAATAATTGAGAAAAAACCTGCTACACACCGATGTAGGCGAGGATCAATTTTGTAATACTTCTTATATATTTACAAACACTGTTTTGAAAAGACAGAGCCAATTGACTTACCACTTTTTAAGGAAAGGGGCTGGGGTCGTGGTGGTAGCATCCCCACACCCAGTTACAACAACGGGGTATCCATTCCTACCGCAACACCCCCAATTAACACATTCAAAATGTAACTCCCTAATCTATTGAAAAAACGGGCAGGGGCCTGTCTTCCTCACTGAATTGCCCAAAAAATAAGAAAAAAAGAAAAAAAAGACAGAGCCAATAAACTGGTGTCTGTTCAAGTGACCGTTGGATCTGATACTTGATGCTTCCCATGGAACTTTAACTAACATTCTTATTTAGGGTCAGACTTTCCCACATTTACTCTAGGAAACTTATTATGATAAGGACGATCCGACTATTAGTTTATGATGGTTCTTAGTGGAATTTTGTGACATCAAAATTTTTATACGGCCTAGCACTTAAACCAACATCTACCATGTACTAGAAACATAGCATTTGGCTTTATATACATTCTGGTGTGAAAATTGTTGAGATCTGGTAAGAAACCCACTTTGTTGGAGTATTCACTGTGATTCTGATATGGTATAAGGTATGCTTTGGTATCTCCTGACTTCTAGATGCTTGCTATTCTACTAAGAATAGATGATTTTTCGTTATTGTATAGAAATATTCTTGCACTGGTTAAAGGACTCTGATGTACAACTTTTGCATGTTACCCCTTGCAGTTTCCCTGTAAGGTGCATAGTCCCCAAGTCATGTTATTCCTTAGTTCCTGGTTCCTTTGACCTGTGGCCAATGCAAAACTAATTCACATTTGTATGCTCTCTTGATATCATTAATGTGTTGTGTGTTTCCATAATTTTTTTACCCTTCTTTCAACGTTCACAATTGTTTTTTTATCCCTTTTGTTTGAAGGGATATTTTCTGGCCACCTTTCATCTGATGTATCTGATGGTTCGAAATGGAGAATGAATCGAAGTGGTTTCTGTGGAATGCGATCTAAGAAGGTGAAACGTATAGTCCTCATTTTTTAATTTGTCATCATATTTACTTCTTCGTGCTTTGGTTACTTTTGGGGAACAATCTGTTTTGTTTTTCTTGAGTGGAGCCAATGGATTTGCAGTGACTGATCATCTGCAGCAAATGGCTTCTTCTTCATCCTATAGATAAGTAAGAAAGGAAAAAGGCCCCATGCAGGGGAGGGGGGGTTGGGGGGAGTGTACTGACTGATCATCTGCAGCAAATGGCTTCTTCTTCATCCTATAGATAAGTAAGAAAGGAAAAAGGCCCCATGCGGGGAAGGGGGGTTTGGGGGGAGCAGGGAAGAGGGTCTGTCTCTTCCTCTTGCCGTGTCATGCACGGAACTGCTAGGATTGTGTACCTTTCCACTTGCATAACCATATGCACAGACTAAATTGGTATAGGAACCATGAAATCCCAGCAATGGACAAGACACTCTAGGCCATATTTTTCAAGGGACTGACCTTGTATGATTAACATCAAATTCTAGCACAATACAAATGAACCCTTTATGCATACACGCTGAACATCGGTGGTTTTATTTCTTGTACTATTTCTTATATATTTATTTGTTGCTGCAGTTTGATGGCTTCATTGACTTGGAAGCATACGATACGATAGCCATGAAGCTTAAGGGAGATGGGCGATATTATATTTCTACTGTAAGTTTGAAAGTTAGATTGAACCTTGGAACACGATCCTCCTCTCTCTCTCTCTCTCTCTCTCTCTCTTC